ATACATCTAGTAAACTTGCACATGGATATAATGACATGAAACACATGTTGAGAAACTACCCATTGGTAGCACTCTAATAATATGTCTATATTAGGAGATCACGTGGCCTTCTTCTTTTCAGACGCCTCAGAGGGTTATTAGGAAGGTAAGAAACAAGAGGGTTTGAATGGTTACCAAGTTTATTATGGAAGGATATATATCTGGATTGGGCCAAATCTGATACATAAGGAACATTAAGGTCATTGTGGATGATTTTATTTGTAACATAGTAAGGAGCATTGAGGATTTTACGAAGGATTTTGGATTGTAAGGATTGGATACGTGAGGAATTTGAAGGTTTGGTGGAGCCCCATAGCTCAACTCCGTAAGTCCAAAGAGGCCTTATTTTAGTCATGTAAATGAGTCTTTTGTAATTAATTTTAAGGTTAGAGCGTTTTTCTAGTAAGTGTTGAAGTAGTCGAAAATGTCGAGCTGTTTCTTGTCGTTTCAGTCTGGTATGAGGATTCCAAGTCAGACGTTTGACGTTCAAAGCGGAATGTATAGACATTGTTGTGATTTACTTTAAATTATCTATCAGTAAGGTAGCAACGGATAATGAGGAAGTATGTGGATGGTAGGAATTTTCGGCGTTTGTACAGCAGTTCCGGGTGTCAAACTCTATCAAACGCCTATTCAATGTCGAGAAAGACTCCCGTACAGTACATTCCGCGCTCCAATGCAGATGATACTAAGTCTACCAAACGATGGCATTGCTGTATAGTGGAATGGGAGGAGCGGAATTCAAATTGGTAATCTGGGATTAGGTGATTAGAATTTATAATAGGGTACAAGCGTTTTAATATTAGTTTTTCCAGGATTTTTCCCATGATGGGTAAAAAAGAGATAGGACTGTAAGGCGATGGGTATCCTGGTGGCTTTTTGGGAAATCTTTAATCATAATGTCCCAAGGGAAAAGTTCTAGTGTCGGAATTACATAAAAATGAAACTAAATAGCCATACCAGAATATTTACAAATAAACGTTGGAAAATCACTTCGGACACAGAAAAAATCAACCATAATAGACTAGGTCTCCCTACCAATACCAACACCAATAAATAATCAGTTTCAAAGGCTTTTTATGCAAGTCGTAGAAGATATAAATGATAATTTATTTTTCTTAAAGGAATTTTTTTTTTTTTGGGGATCCTCCCTTACCTCGCCGATAAGGCTTTACGGGTTTTCCCGGGAACATTGGGCAATACTAGTACATACATATACGGCAATATTACTACATGCATACGGGGACATTGGATACTATATGCCGATTTTGGGCAATACTAGTGGTGCGGTTCAGACGAGGTACGGGCATATGTGAACCAATCTATGTTAGTTATAAGCGATGAAAATGTTCCCAGAATATATTTACTTTGTTATAAAATATAATAAAAGTGATATTAGACCATTTTAGAGAGCCATTTTTGAACTTTTTACTACCTGTCCCAACCACTGTCACAATCGCCCCAGAGGTCGGTTATGATTTTTTTTTTTTGTCTAATTTGTTCCTATGAGTTAATTACTATACTTATGGACAAAGTTTTAGTATTTATTCATAGTTTTATGTACACTTGTCAAATGTGCGACAATTAAATGAAAACTGTCTGAATCGTACCCAGTCTCCCCTAAGTAAACGAATGATGATAGAACCTTTTACTGCGCATATACTCAACAATTAGTTTTTTTTATTAAAATTACAATCTACTTGCAAATATAGATCAAAATCTTTTTAATATTTTAATTAATTTCGTAATTTTTTAATTTACTACATATAAGTTTTTGAAAATAACTTAGATTTCAAGACGAAGTTGTAGTATAGGATTTCAATGCAAATCTTGGGTCGACATTGAAAAAAGAAAAAAAAAAGAGGAAGTTTTCTGGTATGTCAGTATTAATTAATCCGCAATAGAGCTGAATAGGCCGTAGCTATTTTAATGTTGGGACAGGGCTGCCAACTGTTAGCTCAATGGGAGCTATTAGTAGAACTTCCTCGACTACTTAACCCGCTAAATGGCCTCTCGTCCCTTTCGTGTATAATAGATAGAATCCAGGGATTGAGTTTCAATGTAAAATTTACAGGAGGTGGCTACAGTCAGTGGTCCATCGTTTTTAACCATTTTTTTGTCGGTGATACAACATTGACAAATATTAAACAAATATCCCGACGTTCGTTCCAATGGGCCCCGGTAGCCAAGAATAAATATTTTATATAATGTCAAACGAAATGTTATTTAATTTTACCTTTGCTTTGCCTGGACTTTTCAGCTATTAGATATCAATTGATTTCTTATTTTTTGTCTGTAGAATAAGAACAAATATAAACTATTGTATTAAAACAGTTGTAATGTATCCTAAATTACAACAACCAAAAGTCGTTTCCAGTAGAAAAGGCCATCCAAACGAATGTAACTTGTTTTTTCTAACAAAAAACAAGTTACATTCGTTTTTAATTCCCTTTGAATTGTTTAAATACGAAGTTTTAATAAAATTTAAAATTGCGAAACAGTATCTTTTTCCGTCCTATACCTTAAATTTACAAAGCATTCATGATTTCTCAAGTTTTTTTTTTTTTTTAATTCACCGTTATTACAACCGTTGCTCTTTTATTTTTGTAGTCATTTTTCTTGGTTGAGTCAAATTTTGCAGAGTTTGCACCAGTCATAGAATTTGTATAGGTGATATTGTAGAGTCTGTGAGGCGTATGTAGAATTTTGATGTCGCGTCACGATTGTTGTATCGTCTGCGTAAGTCGCGGTCAGAGTATCGACAGGATCTATAATATCGTATGTGAAAATGATATACAAGAGAGGAGCGAGTACTGACCCAAGAGGCACTCCTTTTAAGGCTGGTTTAATAGTAGATAGTTCTGTACCTTGGAAAACAGAGAATAATCTGTCAGAAAGAAAAGATTGAAGAATAAGATAGTAGATTGGAGAGAGCATAGTCTTAAGTTTGAAAAGAAGTCTATCGAACGCTTGAGCAATATTCAGAAATACTCCTGTTGCATATAATTTGTGCTCTAGTGTTGTCTCGATGAAATCTGTCACTCGGTGTAGCTGATGAATGGTTGAGTGGTGCGAACGAAATCCAAATTGATGTTCAGGCATTATGTATTATGTTAACATGTATTATGTTTTCTAGCTAAATGTAAACTGTTAAAACATTTTTAATAAAAGAAAAAAGCATTTGAAATCCACCTAATCAAGGCAATGGCATTGTTTAAAAAACTATTTTATTGTACTTGTGTGAAAGAAGAAGTGGATATATAAAATCATTTCATGAATGTATAAAGCTTATATTTATAACCTTAAATACATTTACTATAATTTAATAATTCTAGATCCGATATTATATTTAAATAATTAGGTATCAACGTTCGTTTATTCCGAAAATCGTCATGTAACTGTTTAGAAAATTAAATTAGTCAATAATTTGATCTTTTTTCTTTTTGTGAAATCCCAACATTATCATGTCTTCCTATAAAGTACCTTTAATTTGGTTTATTATAAATAATAACTATTGTTCATTGTTAAGAGTTATGAAAAAGATATAAAATATACCTTTTAAAAGGATTTGATAATTGAATAAAGGAGAAAAAAGAGAAGTACTTATCCAATCCTAAAATGAATATTTGGGAATAATAGTCAGAAGGTATACGTATAATGTAACGTTGGAAAGCGAAGAATTAAAAAGAGAAAACAATATCTGATACAGAAAATTTTACAAGGTAACGGAGAGTGACGAAAAAAATATAAATAATAATTTCTAAAATCTAACATTATCTAACGTAAATCACGTGTTTTCAAGGAAAGTAATTTAAATGTTCTTATTAAATATAAACTTTTAAAAGTTTGAAAAAATATTTAAGACCCACGGATTCAAGGCAATGACATTGTTTAAGATACTTTTCCTTTGTACTTGTGTGAAAGAAGAAGTAAAATATAAAAATATTTCGTGGAAATGTTTATAACCTTAAATACTGTAGTTTAATAACTCTAGATCTGATATAATATTTAAATAATTAGGTATCTATTGTCCTTTTATTCCGAAAAATCATCATGTAACCTTTTAGAAAATTATATTAGTGAATAATTTGTTGATTTTTCACTTTGTGATATTCCAACAGTAATTACTTACAATTAGTAGGACAAGTTTTGACCTGTCTATGACAGACAATGAAAATCTCTTAATTCCATTTTAGTAAACTTTGCAATGGAAAAAAACAGTATAACTAATAGTCGTACTGTTTGGTCGTATGAATTGTAATCCATAATCAACCGTTGATATAATAAATAGGAATTTTGTTATTTTAATTCTATTTATGATTCGATAGCTGTAAGCTCGTAGTTTTATCTCGGTTAAAAATACAATTCAAAAATTTTATAATAGATAAGCCAGAAAATGATTTGTATTCAAAGTTGAGCGGTAAGTGAAAGTTGTGTGTTCCGCGCATCAGAATTTTTTTTTTGTGAAAAACAAAATATTAAGTCAACTCGCATATGCTTAAACTTTTCCTCCTGGGTATTATTTATAATGTTTGTGAACATAAATGTTAGCTGTCTACGGTGATTGTCTACGGCGATATGGTCACTATTCTGAAAAATTCGGTTAGATTGCTGCAAAACATTTCGTGAATTGTGAAGCCGATCTAGTTAAATTTTGGTAGATAGTTCAGTAGTTTTAATGGTTATTAATTACAAAATATTTTATCCAATAATGTGATATTTAATGTATATATATATATATATATATATATATATATATATATATATATATATATTATATATATATATATATATATATATATATATATATATATATATAATGTGTACACATTACACATCACGTGGTGTTGATTATCTCCGGTGTACAGATTTTATCTATTTCTTAACATTTTTAAGGATTATTATCTGATTAAAATGGTTATTTTTTCAAATTTATTAATGTTTAACTATTATTTTTGCAGATCTCTTGGATTTGGTGAGAGTATGGAGTTCAAAATGAAGTAAGTATAGAAGCATATATCAAAGATGAATATTTGTTTTTTCTAATCTGAAAGCTGTTCGAATTTGACATGTAGATACATTTTTTAGACATGCATATATTATTATTATTTACAAAAGTTAGACGAAAACCTTAAATTTCCTTAAAACGTAATTTCTAGATAATCGACGTTTAGAAAGCTAATTTTTGGAGCTCTTTATTTTTAATTTTGAACGGTAGTTTCTTCATCTTTTTTTCGTAAAAGACAATACTCTTCGTTTTATCTGGATTAGCCTTAATCACAAGCGGATCTACAGATCTTTCAGGCTGAAGCCCCTCTCCCCAAAATGGTAAAATATAACCATATTTTATAAAAAAAAAAAAAAAAAAAAAAAAAACCATTAAAAACTATCTCTTAAAGTACTATTTTTCGTGTAATTACATGTAATGAAGCTTCAAAAATCACTTAAACACCATTTTTTTTTTTTTTTTTTTTTGGAGGGGGTCCTTCCCTTCCTCGCCTTTAAGGCTATACGGGATTTCCCCGGGCCAGGGAGTGTGCGAGGGGATTTAAAAGACTCCCCCGGCACCGGGACGCGAACTCGTGACTATTTTTATATCTTTGTATTCATATGTCAGGTTGCCAGGCAACGGCGGTGCAGTGCAAACGCTTTAGCCCATTCGGCTACCCCGCCCACAACCCTCACTTAAACACCATGTCGTGTAGATAGTTTCTTTTTTTTTTTCAAATTAATTATCATTATATAAGCTACAATACAAAACCTTTCGGGTTGAAGCTCCTCCCCCCCCCAAAAAAAAAAAATACTTCCTGGATCCGCTAGTTTACTCAACCTTCGACTATATTTTGAGATTGCTTCATGTATACTTCCAGTTTATGTTACGCTATTTCTTTTTTTGGTCATCATTTTAATATTACACATTTTATTTTACCACATCGGTTTTATTGCTCTGTGTCTTCCAAAGTATTCCTTATATTAAAAAAAATATAATTACTTTCTTGTCTTAAGTTGTAAGTGAGGAAACAATCTTGACAGAGATAACAATACTCTTCCTGATTAATAATTTCTAAGGTCAAGGAATTTGACAACATTTTGGTTATTTGTTGCATGTATAAATCTAAAGAAAAATAAAAAATATTGAGTTACGCATTTTAAAAATAATTAAAGGAAACCGGTGTCTTTTTGGAAATTGTTTTTGATCTATTTCTCAAAAACTTTTTGAGCTAAAAAGCTGGATATGCGTCATCCTTTTCAGACGTTTACCCTCTTTCCTTTTATATACTATATTATAAAATACATAATTAAAAGCTTCAATTTTGAATTTTGAAAAAAAAACTTTTGATTTTTATTTCTAATATATGGTTGCTAAAGGTATGCCGATTTTTTTTCTCGATTTTGTGATCTATTTATCATAGAACTCAATTGAAAAGGAAATGGGTCTTCATGAGTTTTCATTAAATTGGCACAGTTTACCGATATGCTGATTGAAAACGCTCCATTTCCTAAAATATCTGTAAATTAAAAAGTTTTATATTATGATAAAATGGAGGCATTTATGAAGTTTTGTACCAGTGTTTATAATTTGTTAAAATGAAGTCTATAACACGATATTTGAGCTTTACTATACGTTTTTTGAATATCTAAGTATGTAGAAATGAAAAATATTATTGAGAGCTACAGCGATTGTTATATATTTTCCTTCAGTTTGTGTTAATATTTAATCTTTATTTGTTTTCAAGAAAGAACACCATACAAATAGAGTCTATCTATGTATAAGAAACATTATTACTCTTATGATATTACAAATGTTTTTTTCTTTTTTTCCTTTATATACTACATCACAAACATTACAACAATATTGCCACAAGAATTACTTTAAAAAATAGCGCCAATTATTAACAATCATGTAAAATCTAAAACTCCCGTCAGAACGCATACACAATATCAATCAAAACAATAAATACATTTTATTTTTTAAATATTAATAATAAACTATGATTTAAAATTCAATTAAAAGATTATTCGCATGACCAAAGAAAACAAACAAATATCAATATTCCAGATTATCCCACCAAATATCTATAACTAATCATCCCATTAAGATTATCCATACCCTGTTAAATTCATACTTTTAAACTATTGCATATTTATCTATTTTATATTTTAAATAATACGTGGTAAAGAGTATATTTTTCTTTAGTATTACACATTTTGTACTCAAGTTGTGGAGTGAATTTTACAATTTTATTGTCTACTGAAATCTTGATCTTGTATTTTCCCAAGAGGCGAATTTGGATTAATGATCTGGTATATTTGAAGTTAGTCTTCATCAAAAAATACTGGGAGATCTGACCATTATTAAAAAAAAATTCAAATGTTCACTAGGAGATGAGCTAAGCAATGTTTTTTATCAAACTACTGCAAATGTCGTTTATGTGTATTTAATACCTTGTCAATATTTGCTCTAATTATGACTGAGTTGGTTTCATAAACTATACCGCCTTCACCAATAGCATCTAACTATAATTTCAACTGAGCACACCAATTATATTTCGACAGAGCAGGATTAGATTGGTAATTTTTGTTTCTTAGCTTTTCGAAACATATTTTAGGATGTCTAATTTCCTCCATTTCCACAATACTAAGCAACAAATTCAAGGAGCATTACATGACATTTAAACCAACATACTCTGTCCCTAAGCGTATTAAAAAGTCAGGAGTAGATTTACAACTCCAAAATTTATGTTGACCTTTTCTATGAGATCTATGTATCTCTGGGCACGATATACCAGAGATGTAGTAATGATAGATTTTTTCAACTTTCTTCTCCTTCCAGGAGTTCGTGTTGGTTTTTGAACAAATATTTATTACAGTGCCTTTTGTCGTGTATGACTTTGAGATTGCTGTCTTGACTGCTTGTAAAAACAAATCGGACCTACGAAAATGGACACCTAATAATTGTATAATAAGTGCTGACAGAATCAATCAGTTCTTCTTATAGATATATACTGCTATTTTTCTTTGGACGCCCTCTGGCAAAATTCAAAATTTTCGTTTTGTTAATGTTTATAATCAGTCTTTTGTGTCTACAATATTCATTTACAACATAGACTTTTTTTTTACAAAGTCTGGCAAAAATAGCCATATCATCTGCAAACGAAAGAAACAATATGTCAACACATAAGGCAATATTTATTTATCAACCCTGCCGTGCCTAGTAGGCAATACGGGTGTCTGCAATAGTAAGATGTTAGGCAGGTCAGCTCAACATCTCACTGCTGCAAATGAATCTCGTTCTTCTGCTCCTTCTTCATTTTTTCCTCTTTCTTCATGGGTGCTTTCCTCATCCGTTTCACGCCAATGGTATAGCACCTCTTCCTCCTCTTCTTAAATTAAAATGGGCTGGCCCCACCGCGACTTTCCACCCGTACACAAAATCTTTGTAGTACGGGTAGTTTTCCGCAGTGACTAACTGAGGAAAATCGTTCTCTGTGAGAATGTAGAGACCGGTTTCCCTCAGTAACTTAGCCCTTAGGTCTTCAAAGGCGGTGCAGTCCACTATGATGTGCTCAGCAGTCTCCGGAACACCGCAGCTAGGGCATAGGGGGTTGATGTCCATCCCATGGCAATGAAGCTTTGCTCGAAAGCCCCCATGGCCTGTGAGAAATTGCGAGATCCAATAGTCTGGGACGATCCACCTTGCTTCTAAACGTGACCGGACGGTGGGGAAGTACTTCCTCAAGGTAGATCCTTTGGGGGTTATCACCCATCGCCGGTTCCATTCCTCCAATGTGTCGTCCCGTATAATGTTTTTCCATTTGCAAGGATTCTCGTCAATTCTCACCTTAAGATGTTCCGGTAGACCTGCTGAGCCGTTTTTCTTGAACATGTGCCTCATCATATCTTCTCGCAGGAGAAGGTCGAGAGGTACCCCTCCTGCTAATACCTGCACCGCCTCATGGGATACGCTTCGATACGACCTGGTGACCCGCAGCAATGCCGTTCGCTGTATTGTCGCCAACTTACTCTTCTGTCGGTGCGAGAGGTTCTGGTTCCAGGCGGGAGACGCATACCTCATGATACCCAGAATGACTCCCTTATAAATTGTTAAGGTTGCTGGGTATCTGAGGCCCCAGAAAGCGCCCCCAACCCGACTGAGACCGTTCAAAGATAGGGCCACCCTGTTTTTAAGATAGTCCAAGTGAGGGGTAACGCTGAATTTTTTCCCAAATTTTACGCCTAGATAAGTGACCACCTCACTTGGACGTATTCTCGAACCTTGAACCGTTATGTTAATAGGGTGTGCCCTGTCAGTTTTCCCTTTCATGACAATTGTATGAGTCTTTGAAGCGGCCATTGATAACTTTTTCCTCTCGCACCATTCTCCGACCAAGTTGGCGCATCGTTCCGCTTCTTGTCTTAAGCCGGCTATGCTATTGGAGGCCACCACTACTGCCAAATCGTCAACGTATCCAGTGGCAGGGAACCGCTGTTCTTCTAATACTCCCAATAACTCATCAAAAACGAGCTTCCATAAAGCTGGACCAAGTACCGATCCTTGAGGACATCCCCTCTCTATGAAAGCTTCAGTCTCATAAGAACTGCCACGAACCTTAACACGTCTATCCTGTAAGTAGCTTCTTATCAAGGCATATAAGTTACTGGGAGCATCATATTTCTGCAGCTGCTGGAGCACAAGAGGCCACCAGACGCTGTCGAAGGCGGAGGATATGTCGAATAGCATCAACATGACATACCGCTCCGTCCTCAGTTCAACGTCTTCACGTACTCTCAGCAGGGCATCAGCGGTTCCCTTCCCCTTAGTGGAGCCGTATTGCCGTGGATGACTTGCTCTGGCAAGAACTGGTGCTAGACTGGTCATGATAAGGTTCTCCAGGACCTTGCTCATCACAGGGAGGAGGCATATTGGTCTATAGGACTTGGGGAGCTGTTTATCCCTATTCCCTCCCTTGTAGAGGAGTCTCAAATCGGCGATCTTCCA